GGTGGGGGGTCTGGTGGTGGGCCCAGTGGCTGGGCAGGAAGCCTGTGGGGGTTTGGAAGGCATCTGATTTCCCTCGGGACTGAGCAGGACTTGAGCCATCCCCCTCAGTAATTTAAGAGGGTGAGATCCTCCCGGTCCCTGCGCGGGCAGGGAGCGTGCTGGAAGCCCCCTGCGCTGTTCGTAGCAGCCTACGAAAGGGCGTCAGCAGAGGGCTGGCAAAGCTGAGTGGCAAGACAAGGGCAACTAAAGCAAGCTGCAAAGAGCTGCAGAAGGATCTAATGAGGTGGAGGTGATCAGGCAGGGGCAATCAGTGCTGCGGAACGCTGAGTCCTGTCGCAGGCGGGGAGGAACGGGGCTGGGGGAACCATCGCCGCATCTGTTTCAGGAGTTTTCTAAATTTTGGGAGGAAAAATCACGTTATTGACTGTGTGTTTATGACACCCCCTCCCAAACGCCTGCCCGTCAGCCCCGGCTGGAGGTGGGATGTTCGCTTCTTCTGGCTGATCTTGCACATCCCTGCTGTGCTGGGCAGCTCTGGTGTCGGGGAAATTGTTCTCCAGAAAAACAGCGTGTATGGGGCAAGTGTGACAGCAGAACTGAACAGAACCTTGTGAGCACTCGTTAACGTAAGATACGAGCTTTGCTCTGGCCGAGTTACCTGTATTGGGATCAATATGGCATTCTTCCTGAGTGCTATACCCTCAAGATCTTTTAAACAGGAGAAATCCCATGTGGCTCCAGCAGCAGAAGAGTGCAGACGATTGCAGCCTGACTGGCAGCAATAAAATCAAATCACAAACGCCTGCTCAAAAATGTCTTTGCTGACTACATGGAAAAACATTTAAAAAAAACCCAAAAGAAATGGTGGGAGCTCAAGAATCTCTGCCATTGAGTTTGTCTCCTTCCTTTCCAAAACCAGCCCTGGCAACCAGAGCAGCAGGTGTTCAGGTGTGCGATTTTGTCTGGAGGTATTCAGTCTTCCACACCGATGGGAGCAGTGGGGTCTGATGGGTTTTTGGCTCAGCACATTGCTAATCAGTGCACCAGGAATATGCCTGCATTGCATCGTTTCTCTTTATACTAAAAACAAGAAAATAACCTGACAGTGAAAAACCTAGGAGAATGGTGACTCTAAGCTATCTTTGGTTTCTGTTTTCATACCGGTATCAACCGGAGATTTCTTAGAGCAGAGAATATTGATTTTTATTTTTATTCTGAACAAACAGAAGCTGAGATTCTTCTGAAAAGGACACCTAAGAAGACTTCCTTTTCAGAAGTTTTTCAGTATTTTCCAAACAAAACCCTTCCTCACCCAACAGCAAAGCGCAGAACCGCGATTTGTAGCTGGGCTCCAGCTGCCTTCCCATTGCCAGCCGCGCGGTGCCCGGGGCTCGGGCTCCCTCCTGGTCGAGCTCAAAGCTGGGAGCGATGGTGGGGCAGAAAATCGCATGGGTTGGCGGTGTTCCCGCTGGAGCAGGTCTGCGACCACACCACTTGCCGGAACCACGGAAGTTTGTTGGCGTTTTCTGAGCATCTCCATGCTTCAGCGAGAAAGTTATCCCAAATTTTTCGTACTAGATTGAATTTATGTTTTGAGTGCATGGTTCTACAGTTAGAAAAAGCACTGGCAAATTGTATGTTCTCATGGATCATTTTATTTAAAAATCTATTATCTTATGCATTTATTTATTGTAACAAAAAAGAAAAAGAAAACCAAGCAGAAGGTGAGCAGATCACCACAGTGAGAAGTGTGAAGGTGGTATTTTTTGGAAAAAAACTTCCTGCATAACTCAGACCATTGCTGGTTTTTTTTCATTTGCTCCTTCTGCCTGGCTCGTGAGAACTAAATGTCCAGCTTTTGGCAACCCCTGTTGACCATGTGCCCGTGCAGTACACTTTCGTTTTCATCTATCATTCAGGTGATGCTTTTGTATGGTGTGTCTTGCACAAGTTTTGCTTTTGCATGGTTCATCTTGGACATTTCTAGCTGTTCTTTTGAACGCTTTAGAAGCACAAGCTGAGCTGTGAGCTTTGTGTAGCTGCTGGTGCCACGTGGTGCTGCGGGAGCAGAGGCAAAACGTAACGGGCTCACAGCTCTTCGGGTGATCAGTCTCACACAAAGTTGTTTTTTAGAAGCCTTGGCTGCACAAACTGCTTCATTTCTCAGGAAGGAGTAAGCTTTATATGTCCCTGTTATTTTTATGGAGTGACAAAAAAATGCCTATGCAGATTATGGAGAGGTAGTCATGCAAATTGGTTATGCATTTATTATCCACCTGAAATTTTAAAGTTACCAGCTGAAAGTTAATGATTTGATGCAGTGGTTCGATTCAGTCGTTGGGAAGAGAAAGCTGAAGGCAGAGGGTGTGTTTGCCAGCTGCTGGAAATCGCACGCTGTCTGCCTGCCCCGGGGCAGAATGCCTATGCAGATTATGGAGAGGTAGTCATGCAAATTGGTTATGCATTTATTATCCACCTGAAATTTTAAAGTTACCAGCTGAAAGTTAATGATTTGATGCAGTGGTTCGATTCAGTCGTTGGGAAGAGAAAGCTGAAGGCAGAGGGTGTGTTTGCCAGCTGCTGGAAATCGCACGCTGTCTGCCTGCCCCGGGGCAGGACGCGAGCAGTGGCCGAGAGCGAGCCGGTTCCCATTCAGTCGCGCCCGAAACCTCCTCCTCCGATTCTGTTAAAGATGGAGACTGGTGTGTAAGCGCCGAGGCCGCACGCGTGCTTTCCGTGGGCCGAGAGCTGGGTTCCTGCGCGACGTCCTGAGAAGAAATTCCAGGGAGAAGGCAGTTGCTGTTCAGCCTTTCCTTTGATAATCTCTTTCCTGAGGAATTTGTTGTGTTTCATTTCCAGCTTATGGCTGCCTTCTGCTGGCAGCTGGAAAAACTGACAATTGCTTTTTATCTTTATTTGGATCTGTAGATCTGAGCTTAAAATATTTATTTCTATTTACAACGTTCACTGTTTATAAAGACAAAATATATTTGCTGAAACAACTCTACATCCAGTGCAATACTGGAAAAGTGACGCTGTTCTATGGTATTTACGGTTGGTTCATAAATGTGAAGGTAAGTTTGTTCTTTTAATATGTAAAGCAAGATCTCAAAGGCCATTTGAGCCTCTGTGGTTGATGGAGCGTTTGCAGAAGAAGCGATGCAGAAGATGAGCGGTGCTGGCCGTGTTCCCTTTGCGTGGGCCCCTGCACCCCGGGCGCTGCCGTACCCCTGCCCAGCCCCGGGGGTCCTCCCGGCCGAGCCCAGCGGGACCCCGCAGCCTCTCACGCACCGGTGTCGTGGCTTCACGTGCTTTTTTCCCATTCTGATGAGTTTTTCTCAGGTTTTAAATACATCTCGTATGACACTAACGCTTAAAAATAGTTATATTCTATGTTGAGTAACCGAGTTGAAAAAACAGCTTTTCTGAGCATGGGATTGATATTTCTTCATGTCTCAGTTGTGTTTTTTTACACCAGATACACAGAATGTAGATCAGAATCTGCTGTGTGGGATAATTTTTACCCTGCTGGAAGAAAACGTGCTGGAATGTGAACCAAGCTGGAAAACACGCTGCGCCCGGCGGAGAGTAACGTAGGGCGTGCAGCAGGGGAGCGGCGTTAAACGATCTGCGTGTCGAGATGCAAATGTCCGTTTCACAATTCTTTTTTTTCAGTTGCCCCCACAATTCAGGAACTTAAATCCAGCGGTGTGATGCTCGGAGGGAACGGCCTGATACGGTGCGAAGGTGCAGGAGTTCCTGCCCCGGTCTTTGAGTGGTACAAAGGAGAGAGGAAGTAAGTAGCCGGCGCTCGCCGACCCGCTCGTGCTGCCGGGGATGCTGCC